AATGGACGCTGTAAGCTCTCTCTCTCGTGACTTTATAACCTAACTTAAATTCACTCTTTTTGTTTTTTTTGTAAGTACTATAATTTGGGAGTACGTAAATACAATCTCCAAATCTCGAGAAAAAGAGTATAATTTCAATGTTTTATTGGATATAATTTATTTATCGACGAACATCTAAATTTTACTATAAACTGTAAAATGAGAGGGTAGGGTCAAATAGGTAATTACACAGCTAGGCCTGTGCTGATATTTGTTAATTTATATATAATTATGATGTTAGAACCGGTGGGCGGAGATGTTTCCGAACATGATCGCCACAGCGACGACCACCGACGTGATCTCCGGCGGCATGGGAGGAACCAAGAACGGCGCTCTCCAACTGGTAATTAATTGTTAATTATTTCCACCTATTGTTATTTATTTGTTAATTTATTTAAACCGGCCCCCACCCCACAGATGCATGCGGAGCTCCAAATTCTGTCTCCCATGGTTCCGGTGAGACAGCTCAGCTTCCTCCGCTTCTGCAAGCAGCACGCCGAAGGCGTCTGGGCCATCGTCGACGTCTCCGTCTCCATCGCCGACTCCTCCCCTCCGCCCTGCAGAAGACTCCCCTCCGGCTGCCTCATCCACGACATGCCCAATGGCTACTCTAAGGTTTCCTTTCTTATTTTATTCTTTATCGAATAGATAACTATTTTTTAGTTACGGCATTATATTTTTGATAAATATAAGAGAAATAACACTATTAAAATTCTTACATATAAGAGAGAGAAATATATATAAAATTGTTAAATTTTTACATACAAGCAAGCAGCTAAGTATTTGAAAATATTTGACTCATTTAACTTATTCTCCGCCACCATTAAATATCTAATAATGTAGAAAAAGAAATGCGAAAATAAAAAAGTGTCTTAAATTTGAGAAATTCGTATTTAAATTTTAAAAATGCTTATGCCCATGACTGTGAACTATTTCTATATTGACAACCATTTTTTATTTTTCGGATAAAACTATATTGAGCACTGTTCATAATCTCATGATCTATTAGAAAAAAATTTCCATCTTTACCTTTTATCATATGATAAGTTGTTACGCTTAGAACCTAAGTATTTGCAGTAAAATTTTTAGAAGTGGAAAATTTTCTATATTTAGTATGGTATATTATAAAAAATGTTAAAATTTTCATATTTAATTTGTTAAATATAGTGTGATTTTTGAGTTTTGTATAATTTCAAACTGTGTAATACATTATGAAAATACAGTATTGCTTATTTTAGGCCATAAATGGCTTCAATTTTGAGAATTTAGAATATATTTGGATTATGGAAAGGAAATTGTGTTGCGAGTGGTGTGGAATGATGGCAGGTTACTTGGGTGGAGCATTCGGAATACGACGAAACCCAAATCCACGAGCTGTACCGGCCCCTCGTCGGCTCCGGCCTCGGCTTCGGCGCCCCCCGCTGGATCGCCACCCTCCAACGCCAGTGCGACTGCCTCGCCACTCTCATCTCCGACCGCGACCATTCCGGTAAACAGTTAATTACAATAATACCACCATCCCATCGTTACAAAACAATTAATTAATTAGTTATGAAAATATGATTCTTTTTTTGGTTTGGGTGTTAGCGATTACGGCGAGTGGGCGGCGGAGCATGCTGAGGCTGGCGCAGCGTATGACGGCGAACTTCTGCGCCGGCGTGTGCGCGTCGTCGGTGTACAAGTGGAACACGCTGAACGCCGGTGGCAGCGTCGGGGAGGACGTCCGGGTGATGACGAGGAACAGCGTGGACGATCCCGGTGAGCCGCCGGGGACTGTGCTGAGCGCGGCGACGTCGGTTTGGCTGCCGGCGGCGTCGCCGGAGAGAGTGTTCGAGTTCCTCCGGGACGAGCGGCTGAGGAGCGAATGGGACATACTGTCCAACGGCGGCCCCATGCAGGAGATGCTCCACATCCCCAAAGCCCAACACCACGCCAACTCCGTCTCTCTCCTCCGCGCCGCCGTACGTACTTTTTCTCTCCTCCCCTCTCTCTAAAATTAAATTGAAAGAGAATTTTAAAAATGTTAAAATTTAAACATATAATCAATCAAATTACTATAAAATTTTAAACTCCCATCACATAGTTCATAATAATCATTGGATGGAAGTTTCGGCGTCTAATAATGGAGTAAAATCAAATAAATTTAAATATATTTCTTTTTAGTTTGAATACTATATTTTTTATTTTAGTTATTTTTGTTCCTGTATTTTTTAAAATATTTTTTACAAGGTTTACTTTTGTTCATTTTAATAAAAACGATATTGTACTTTTAAAAAGGATTATTTTGGTCATTTTATTTTCATTCTATCTCATTTTTAAAATCATAATTTTAGTACGATATTTTACACACTAAATATTTTGAAACATCAAATATTTAATGACAGTGAGAATACGATTGATCGTATTTGTTAAGGAACCAAGTTATTTAAACCTATATCAAATTATCTATGTATGATGGAGTCAACTAAAATTTAGTTTAAATGTTATATTCTGATTTAAATATTTTTAATTTTGGTTTATTTTGGTCTACATATTTTTAAAACATCTATTTTTATCTTTATATTTTAAAATTTGTTAGTCTAGTATTTGTTATTTTTTAAATGTCGTACTTTCAAGATATAATTTATCATTCTTTCAAAATGAAAGGAAATTAGAGGACTATAAAATGAAAGTAAGGATACAAAAATGAACCGAAATTTGATAATTCCAACCCCACTTATTGGGTATGATCGTATGGGGAAAGAAATATCAGAAGAAAAAGGTAATAGAAAATAATGACGAATATGGAATTTGGAAATATCTATGGCGACAGAATTTTCAGAATATGTAGAAATTACCTGTGGACAGCAGCTTTTCGAGCTGACACTACAAATCATCTCTCTTCTCTCTTTTTAAATTTCTTGCAAAAGTCAAAATCACAGGACACTCCTCAGTTATCCCTGAACAAGTTTTTTTCGTTTCTTTTCTTTCACGTCAAAATCATATTATAAATTTTAAAAAAAAATTATTACTTTTATTTTTTGGGATTTTGCAGCAGTCTCTGAATCCGAGTCAGAGCAGTATGCTAATTCTCCAAGAGACCTGCACCGATCCCTCGGGATCGCTTGTGGTGTACGCGCCGGTGGACATTCCGGCGATGCAGGTGGTGATGAACGGCGGCGATTCGGCTTACGTGGCGCTGCTGCCGTCCGGATTCGCGATGGTGCCGGACGGCGGCGGCGGAGGGTGTCTACTGACGGTGGCGTTTCAGATATTGGTTAACAGTTTGCCGACGGAGAAACTGACGGTGGAGTCGGTGGAGACGGTGAATAATCTGATATCGTGTACGGTGCAGAAGATTAAAACCGCGCTCCGGTGTCACGAGCCCGCCACGTGACCTGCTGCAGTATATCTGAGATTTCTGACTGCACTTCGCTACGCTTTCCATTTCACCTTTCTGACCTTGGAGTTTGTGTAAGTTTTCTTTTTCCTTTTTTTTTATTTCAATTGTTTATTATTATTATTTGAAGGGATGGTGAGAAAACGTGGGGGTGGTATTGAGTCAAGAACGAACCGCCGGCGCGTTGACTCAGTGGGTGGGTTCGGGTATTGACTCGAGGAGACCGGCCTCGTGTTGACTCATTACTCTTATTTATTATGAATTATTTCTTTATTATTTATACGGATAAAATTGATGACCCGACCCTCTTTGTTATTCGCTAGTATTTGGATATTTATCTCCCAATCTCTCTCCATTCCCCATTTTGGCCCTCTTCCTTTTTTTTTTCTTTATTTAATTTATTTTCTTAAAGTAGGTTTGATACGAAAATTGTGATTTTAAACCTATTCCAAATATATGTCACTTCAAATTATTTCCAAAAATAATATTTCAAAAATAGATATTCGTCGATCAAACCACATCAACACTTGGTCTTTTCATGACCAAATGATGTGGCGCTCCATTGACGTTAGGTCTAATTTTTTAAAAAGATTTAAATTGTGGCGGTCTCTAACCATCTAGGTGCGCATACAACAAGTAATGATAAAGCAGAATTCATTTGAAATCGATTATAGTTTTGGAATACCTAAGCCTCATGTAATTAAAAAAAAAAAAAAAAAGAACTAGACATAAAATAGTTAAGAAGTTTAGTAATTTTCGTGTTGTTTGCTCCCAAATTAATAGAATTGAAAGAGCTAGAAATCCTAAAATAATTTAAGGCTCCACCCTGTCGGTGAAGCAAATTCTAATATTTTCTAAATTTGAGAGAACTTGGATGGATCTTTAAATAAAAGTTGTCGGTGGATATTGTGTATGATTTTAGAGAAGTTATTTATAAAGTTTAGGAATTAGGAATTATTTTTGGCGATGTAGGGTAGTTGCCAAGTTACACTTTTTAGAGTGCTGGACCATTTTGGTAGCTAGTTTGTGTCTATAGGCCGTCTTCTAACTTCACACAATAAAGATCTTTTCAAAATGATGTTGATGTATCGTTAGAGAATACTCGTGATTCTATAATACTCGAAAATTTTTCAATTTTTTTTAATTATTTTAAAACGGGTATGCACTCGAGTTCCTGTATCTTGGTAACAATCATGAATTGGGTTAGGATCTAATAGTGGTAGCAGCATAATATTTTTCAGAAAACTAAATTTCAAAACAAAGTGATACCCACGATGAACTATATTCATTTTGACTAATCTTATCAGAATATTGTTATACGAGGAAAGCCTTGACTAAGTCGAAGGCATGTAAATATAAAGTTAAAATTGAACTCACAATTAAAAAATATTTTATATGGTCGCGGTGGGGCCGGCGAGGGATGTGCATTTAATGCCCCATCCTTTTTTATTTACGCCTTCATATCCACTACAATTTTGCCACCTCTTCTCAATTTTTTGCTATAATGAAAATAATATTTATGAATCACAACTATTTATCTTCTGAAAAAGAAGAAAAAAAATACATCTATTTTTGCTAAGTAAAAGAGAGTAATGTGATGGAGGAGATGAATTTGACGAATACGCTACTACTGTCCATACCGCCTCAAGCAGAGGAGGCCTGAGAGATTTAAATAAATAAATAAATAAATAAGAATAATGTTCATGTGCTACTCGATTATCTTCCTACGACTATCATTGAAAAACTGACAATTATCATAAGATTTGAAGATATATTAATATATAGACACTCTTTAAAATTTTGAGAGATCATTTTGTGTAACAGGCCCTAAATTTGGTTGCCAATTTTGTAACTTAGGTCTTCTGTTTATTTATTTATTGATTTATTACAACTAAAATATAAGATAAATTTTAACTCAATATTTTTTCGAGGATGTTTTTGTCACCACTCGGTGGAAAATCATTAGTTATTATTATTATTTATTTCAATGCAACAAGTGAGATGGGTTCGAACTTAAAACCTTTAAGAGATAGGTGTCAATTATCGTTGAGCTAAGCTCATGTTGACTTAAAAATCATTAACTATAAATATGTTAGATATATGTGACTCAATTATTAGCCTCATATCGACATGAGAGATTTAAGTATTTGCTATGTAATAAATTATTACATTTTACCTAAGTCATTAGAAATAAAAATAGCATATAGAAACTAAAAGTCGACCTACATGGCAAAATGTGGTTTTTAAGTAAGCCCATATGCCTCGTTGCCTAAAATCTAATGAGTGAACTTTACACGTGACATACTTCAAGTGTCATATATCGTTACGTTATTTCTAATCAATACAGTTTAATTACATTATGTTCATAAAGTTCACATTAAAAAATGTCACATATCAAACTTATAATTTAACCTTATTCTTATATTCCATGTTGGGTTGAAAAGGATGTGGATGAGCAAATACAAAGTCCATACATATTGGGCTTTTTATTCTTTGGGTTTTCTGTCCCCCATATAATAAGATGATTTCCCATTTATAACCAAAAAAAAAAAAAAAAAAAAGTCTAATCAGTCCATTTCTTTTAAAATCCAGGGTCTAATTTTAAAATTTGCATGGATCAGTTGAAAGATAAAACTAATGACATTTAAAAAATGTGTGAAATTTTTATGCATGGATAGAAATTTACGCCATGATAGGTAAGGTCCGACAATCGATTTGGGGATCGACCTACATCTAAGACCGAGTTGAAGATCAAAGTTCTACAAATCAACCTGAAGATCGCGATCTCARATCCGACAATCGACTTGGACCCAACAACCATAACTGTCGGTCGGAGTGGTTACAACGACTTTGTCCTCTCTACTGTCTATAAAACAGACACTCATTTGTGACTGAGGTATACAATTCTACTTCGAGAACAACTTACCGTAACTTGCACCTCTTTTAACTCGAATGTTGGAGTGTTTGTTCCATTTAAAGGTYCCTCTTATTTAAGGTCGGACATCATTTGACCACCTGTAATAACTTGGCATAATCCAACACCTAACACAGTCTAATTTCTTCCGGATAAAAACTGCCCTAAACAAAACCAACCACGAATTTTCAGAAAAGTGATAATTTTTTCAAAATGAAAAATACAATTAATTATAAAAGAAGATTAAAGTTATATTATAGGTAATTAGCTGAAACTTTGGTAACGTGACTTTAATTTAAGCATATCTTTAAAGCAAAAAAAAAGAAAAAGGAAAAAAAAAGGAGATTCGAAAAAAATTAGCAAACACTATCCAGTTTCAGCTGTAATTCCAATTCAAACCATTTTCTTCCTCCGTCTCCTTCAGCCGCGTTGACTGAAACTGACGATTCATTGGTTTTCCGTTCAACGAACTACAGATGATGTCCAAATTCTCATGAATTTCGTGCTAACTTGCCATAATTTCAATTGGGTTTCCTCCACCGTTTCATTCTTCAAAACCCTGTAAGTTTCCCCAATTCCCAGTTTCAACTTCTGTCAGATTCTTCATCTTCTCAGAATTTTCTCCGGGTCCCAGTTGATTCCTTGTTGTTTCTGATCTTTTCAACCCGAATTTCGGATTGCCCTTGCTCTGATTCTTCTTGATAAGTTCGATTTTGATCCGTTTCGTGGATCCCCCTTTTGATTTTGAGTGAATCTTTTTGGAGTTGTGATCGCGTAACCTAATTTTTCCACCGAGAGTTAATAGTTTCGAACTACAGATCGATAATCAAATCGCAGGATGCGCAGCTCAATCCCTCAGCCCTCTTCTTCCATCCGAGCGGTGGATAATTCGCCTCTGCTCGGTCACTCGGTCACCGATGGCTTTCTCCGTTCGCGAGCGTTCATCGGCCGCTCGCCTCAGCCTCTGCGCCGCGCGGTTCGTCTTCTCCGCCGCGCAGGTGGGCGGCAGATGATGCTCCGAGAACCATCCGTTCGGGTCCGCGAGACCGCCGCCGAGCAGCTGGAGGAGCGGCAGAGCGATTGGGCGTACTCGAAGCCCATTATCCTCTTGGACCTTCTATGGAACTTGGCCTTCGTTGCCATTAGTTTCACTGTCCTAGGGCTTAGCACCAGCGAAAAACCCTCGGTGCCGCTGAGGTTTTGGATCACTGGATATGCAGTGCAGTGTATAATTCACATGGCCTGCGTCGCCACCGAGTATAAGCGGCGGCGCTCCACGAGAGAAACCGTTGGATTGGACCATAACGGCGGCTGGGCGAGTGGCGAGGATTCGAACTCGGTCTCCGGAAGCGATGGAGACGATTATGTCACAGAGCTTACTGAGAATGACGAAGAACCCAGGTATGGCCAATGTTCATTTTCCATTTCAATCCATCAATATTTGATTTCATTCAATCGAGAGCTTAAGGTGTTTGATTGATAATCTGTAGCTTCTGTTTTTTCCATAGCAATCTTGCAAAGCATATTGAGTCTGCAAATACATTGTTCTCTTTCATCTGGTGGCTGATGGGATTTTACTGGGTAACTGCTGGAGGCCAAACATTGATAGATGATTCACCTCAGCTATACTGGTTTGTTGATTTCCAAACCAATGGTCTTTTTAACACTTCCTTTGTTCAATTTCTCATCGATTTGCGGTTTTATGTTGCAGGCTTTGCATTACATTCCTTGCTTTCGACGTCGTATTTGTTCTGATTTGTGTTGCAATTGCGTGCCTTGTCGGTGTTGCTATTTGCTGCTGCCTCCCTTGCATAATTGCCATCTTGTATGCAGTCACTGATCAGGTAGTTTTGACAAGCTTTGATTCGATCTGCTGGTTCCGGTTCATCTTTTCTTTTATTCGGCATGTTGCAAATGGACATAATGGTATATTAGATGAAATACTGGCTTGCATAAAACGCTTTTAAGACGTATCATGAATTTGTGCTAATTCTTACAGGAAATTTAGTTGATGCCAAAAATGCCACTCAAATATGTAACTTATTCAGATACATTCTCTCATGTCTGAATTAAAATTTTGAGTATTCGCAGAACTAGTTGTCTCGTCATTCACTCAATTATTGTTGTCGAAAGTATATATTTTTCTTCTGTTATGTGTCTCTAAGTCTCTTAATAGTTGTAGATATTTCCTTCTGGATGGCCATAGTTTTTGATCCGTAAAAGCAATCGGATAGGTTCTATTGCAGATATTTTCGGCTTATGTTCGAGTATCATGGTGTGTTTTTGGATGGAAAAGGCTTCATCAATCAATTACTTTGATATATCCACTAGACGTGCTCGTATTGATACTTCCTACTGTTGCTATTGTCATCTCACCCTATTTCGTTTGTTCAAAAAAATCAGGAAGGAGCAACCAAGGAAGATATCGAGCGCTTACCAAAGTACAAATACAACAGAACAGACGATTTCGAGAAAGTGAATGGTGATGTTCAAGAATCCACCGGAGGAATAATGACTAATTGTGACAGTGATGCACCTACAGAACGTTTTCTTCGTCCTGAAGACGCTGTAAGTTTCTGGTTCGAGCTCTGTGTGCATTAAAGAACTTGAAAATTTGTCTAAACCGATCTTCGAATTCTATCTCATTCATTCTTAAAACTGCTCCATTACGGTAGTTGATGGTGTAGAAGTTCAAAAATTCCACTTCCCTCTCAGGCAAAAACACCATTGGAGCAGGAAGAGGAGTTAAACAGAACAATAATACAAAATCAAACAAATTCCCTCCTTTTTCTAACACAATATCTTATCATCAGGAGTGTTGCATCTGCCTCACCGCATACGAAAACGGAACAGAGCTGCGAGAACTTCCCTGCAACCACCATTTCCACTGCAGCTGCATCGACAAATGGCTACACATCAACGCCACCTGCCCACTCTGCAAGTTCAACATCTTGAAGCCAAACAGTTCCAGTAACGAAGAAGTGTGACGTGACGGTGGAGTATACGATGGACGAAAGACGAAAGACGACACACCCCAAATCATGTTTTGGGCTTGGTGGCCAGTGGGGAGAGACCATATTTCTAAGGTCTCCTGCGGAGAGAGTGTTTGGAAGCAGCTGCTGTTGTATGTATGTATGTGTAATTTTTAGGCTAAAAAGTATTTGAGTTCTGACTTGTGTAAATTTGGATCTGAGGGAACTGTGTTTTTGACTTTGTTCTGATGAGAATACTATTATGTTGGGAGAGCCCATTTGGTGTTTTAATCTAATTTTGGTCTGCACATATCTATTTAATTTCTCCAATAATTTATATTTAGTCTTTTTTTTTTGGTATATTTTACAAATATTCTAATAGTTCCGTGAATTTGCATTGTCTTATAGGTACATGTATATTTGTCAATATAATGATAACGTTCTCGTTTCTAATTTGTAAATGGTGGGGTTTGAACACATGATCTCTTAACGAGATATATATCTAATTTAGGTTGGTTTTTAGTATGTTTCTGCATGGTAAGGGTCGAACATGGAGGTAATGAAATATAGGTCTACATGTCATACTATATATAACGTAAAAAAAACGAAACTATTTTTTGTAGTTTCTAAATTTAGTCTATTTTTTGGAAATGTTTATCAAAATTTAAAAATGAGATACATAATATGTCTGTTACTCAAAAAATGTGAAATGAGAACAAGAACATTATCAAACAAGTCTTAAATGTCCCAATTTGTTTGCAATGAACTCGTGACATAATTCTTAATTTAATGTAAGTTTGAAATTAGGTAATCTTGGAATTTCTGAGAACATTATTTTGAAACCAACAAAAAAAAAAGGATAATAAAAAAAAGGAGCTCAGAGAAGCAGATTTCATCTTGAGGTCAGATGGTTGTGATGAACCCTTACATCACGATTGCTTAAATTTCATCACAGCTCTTAAGAGAAATGCACCAGCCGGGAATCGAACCCGGGTCTGTACCGTGGCAGGGTACTATTCTACCACTAGACCACTGGTGCTTTGTAGAATACATTTTGTAATTTATTTTAAGTACTAAAAAATAATTTTAATTTTAAGAGCCAATAAGATTTAAAAATAGTGTTTTATGTTGAATGCTTTTT